GCAGGAAGAAAAGCAGGTGCATCTGTTTTTTAAGTTAACAACAGAATGCAGACACTGAAGTGCTTGATGTCTTGGCAACTTGAGGTTTTGGAAGGTGCTATATTCCCTCCTGACAAAGCTGGTAATGGGTATCTTGGGGCGGCTGGGTGCATGGTCTGTGAGTCAGGGTCAAACTCCAGTGAGAAATCTCCCTCCCTCCAGGAAACAACCTTAGGTGGTTTGAACTACTACTAATGGGCTTAAGTTGAGAAGCCTTGAAATAGATATTACATGAATATTAGACAAGAAACATCACTATTACAAATATGAGTTTTTAGCTCCGTAGCTAACTCTGAAGGTGCTAGAACCTGAACTCTGGACACACATGATGCTTTTCTCATCCTTCTCTCAGCGACAAGTGGTGGAGACCTAGGCAAATGTCTTAAAAACTTAATTAAAAGGCAGTGTTTCTTTTCTTAAATAGTACCATTCCCCTGGCAAAAACCTCCTTTCTAGTTATTTTTTTGAAAAGCTTTTGAAGAGAGAGGCTGAAGCTGGGAATGGCAGCTTGAGCTCGTAATAGAGAGAGAAGCCAGCCTTGTTTTCAGGGTGTGCAGGATAATGGAGCACAGGTCAAACCAGTAGAAAGGCAGGACTCGAGTCACAGCACAGTTCGGCTCTCCTCTTAAGCCTTCAAAAGCGCTGATGAAAACAGAACCAAATGTCTAATGAAGACAGAAAGCTAGGTGGGAAACAACATCACAGATGGAAGCCTTTCAACGCGTCAGCAATTGGTGCGCACATGTATTACACAGTCTCTAGAGCCAAGCTTTTGTGGTTTTCCCTTCAAGCTTTCCCTAAACAAATTGCTCCCTTGCGTACGCCCCACCCCTAGCACAAACGCGGCAGGCTCCTTCCCCAGCAATCCATGACAGAAAGCCTGTCGTGTTGCCACCTGTCTGAAATTACTCTCCAAAAGCTCACTATGTGATAAGGCTTTAGTGTTATTTACGAAATAAAGCTTTAAGAGTAGAGGGAATATCTGATCTGCTAAAGTTTAATGGTTCTAGCCTTGCCTGTCAAATGACTGCTCCCACACAGCAAAACATGAAAGTACCTTGGTGCTCTTTCGTGTGTCTTCAAAGAGCTCCACCTTGAAGGATGTGCCATTCAGGGAAACAGTGGAAGACGGCCCCGGGTCATGGAGTTCGGACAAGGTCAAAGCTCCGAGCTGTTCCTCTAAGGAAAGGACGAGGCCTTCACTCTTCAGTTCCGTCGGGTCCAGGGCCTGAGCAGAATCGAGATCAGTACGGGCAGCTGGACGGGCAAGCCAGAGCCTCATTACTTGCTGATGAGGTTCTGCTTGTTTAACACTTAGCAGAGCAAACTCTTGTAACTTACCATCAGTACCCTCTCAGAGGAACCCTGATTAAACAGGGACCTTGCAAGGTTTTCACCAGATGAAAGATAAACCAAATGATAGAACTTTTAGAAAAACTGCCAGATGGAGCTGGCAGGTGGCATAGTGGTTGGGATGCTGGACTCCCACATGGCCAACTGTAGTTCGAGTCTGAGACCAGGTGGCTTGCTTTCTCACTTTGCTTCTCTGTCTGTCTTTCTCTGGTCACATTGAAAAGTGACAATACTAAATAATTTAAAAACAACAACAAGCATATCATTAAGAAAAATTGCCAGACAGAATACATGATCATTCTATTTTTCCCAACTACAATGATAAGGTAAACTAAGCTATCGATACTCAAAACATGTTATTATAGCTCCTGAAATGCCTCACACTCTTAATTTTGCTTCTATCCAACACAAAGGCAGCTTTTCAATTTGTATAACAACCTGGATTTTATTACTGGACCTAAAAGCCCCAATACTGCCTGAAGGCAGAAAACACCAGTAACTACATTAACTTTATGACATTCTGAAATACCAAAGCATTCACAAGTGGTTTCCTTTTTAACAAAATGTCATCTTCCATTCCAAAACAAAGTTTATTTCAAACAAAGCAATAAATATACATTATTCTTAATGCCATAGGAATTACTAAGACTAATATAAAAGAAAGTAAAACAAACAAGCCCCCTCTCCTCCCAGAACACCACTTCCCTTGACCCAGCAGACTGGATCCCAGTTGCAGGAAACTGGCATTGACTTCTGGGGCAGTCCCTGTGGGCCGCTGCAGGACACTGTACAAAGGGCTTTTCTTACCGACTTCAGCAAAGAAAGATGACAGCAACACTGGCGGAGTCTCAGCAACTGGGACAGTATGTGGACGGTGCTGGGTCTCTGCGAGTCTGCTTCCACAGAGTGCCATGGTCCACCGGGCCCAAACTCCTGTGCCACTTGGCAGAGAAAGATAAACCATAGGAAAAGTACAGGATTTAAAACAGAAATATGGGAAGAACTGGGAACTAAATGAAGCTATCTGACACTTGTTTGATCTCAGGTCCAGTAATACTAAACTCACTTCTACAACAATTAAGCCAATAAAATACTGTTTTTTAAAAAATAATTATTAATTTTATTTATTCATTCATTCATTTATTTTGACCATAGAGAGAGACACAAAGAGAGAGCGGGAAAGTTAGAGTGCAAGTCCAGGACTTTAACCATGGTCAGCCACATGTGAGTGTCTAGCGCCTTAACCATCATGCCATCTGCTGGCCCCCTTGTTTTCTTTACAGACCTACTTGCATTTTACTAAAGCAGACTTAGAAACCAAAAAGTTTGGGTCACTACATCTGATGTTGGCAGCTCAGTATGTTTTACTCTGGTTTGAGGTTCTTAGCTAAGGTCAAATCTATGACAGCAAGAAGTCCTAACATCCTATTTCTGTTCTTCTACTAAATCTGATGCCTATTTTCAAATGTATTTATAAGTAGCCTGTGGCTTACCTCTACTGAATGGATTATCAGGATCCTTTCCAGATTGGTTGCCTCCATTTTCATGTCTTTTTAGATAGGATTGCAGCGCTGACCTGCCCCAGATCAAAAAAGAAAATGCAAGTATTTGGTCACGAAGACCAAATCAGTTAATGATGGCCACTTAACTGTGCTTGTAAGCAGGCCCTCAACAGCTTATACAAGTGGATTTGTTAAACGATGCAAGCTTATAGCAGGTGTTGGCTAAAGGTCATCCAAAAGAGATAATTATTTAAAAAACTAAATCACTTTTTAAAAATAAGCTAATAAACACAAGAGAAAAAAATTATATGGAAATGAGGTACCAAGTGAGAGTTATGTAAATCTGGAATTTAGGGAAGGACAAGAATTCTAGAGAAAGTACAAAGAATAGGTGACATGAAGGATTAAGTGCAATAGGTGACATGAAGGATTTACCACGCAGTATTTTTAAACCTCCAGTGAGCTGCTGGATGACAAATCAAAGGTCAGAGAGAGAATGTTTGTGGTGCAGCCCATGAGGACCAGGCAACGGTTAGTGTATAGTAACCACCCCCTATGACTTCTGTGTAAGAAAGCCAAAAAAGAATAGGTTCGGAAGTTTGCCTTAAAGTGTGTATGAGACAGAGGTGAGCCTAGGAAGGTGACAGAGGATTTTTAAAAAAAGGAATACAGGTAAATAATAATACTCTAACTACAGTTTAAGGAAATTTGCCTCTCAACTCAATCCTCAGCAAAGAGCCAGGAATTAAACAATGATGCATATGAAAAAAGGCCTCATTGCACACACCTTGATCTTGCAAAGAAAACACTATAAACAGTCTCCTCATCTTCAGAGAGCTTTAAATGGTGCAACTGAAATTTGCGCTGGGGCAGCACCACCTGGAAAAGTAAAAGGAAAAAGAGGTTCGTGTGAAGCTTCTGAGTATTACAGAACAAATTCCCCAGACTGACACTGGAAATCTAGTCAACCCCTGCGAAACAGCTGCCATCTTTCCCTCAAAATAGGACTGCTCTAACACAGCACAAGGCTGCTGCTGTAATCCAAGGCACAGGATGTCAATGCTGGGGGCTCCCCATAGAAAACTGGGAGCTCCTGAAGCAGAACAGATGGCTGCTCAGACCAAGACAAGTACACCGTCATCCTCCTTTCTGGCCCCCGGAATAGGTAGAAATTTGATTACCAAAGGTTTGCCGGTAGAGTCCAGCTGGTCTTTCATTCTCCTCAGCAGAAGGCTCTTGGTTAAAATACTTAATCGTTCTCCTCCTTTCTTTGAACCATTGTCAACCTGACTCTTCCACAGTTTGAACTCATCAAACGGAGAACAACGGAGAAATCTGTTTTGTTGAGGAAGAAAGGCACAAGTAGGGACAGAGAA